CTTCAAAGTTCCCTGGCTCTGGTCCAGGGTAGCTTCCTAAAAACGAGCGTCACGTTTACAGTAAGAGCTCGTACGTTCCCGGAATCCCCCGCCTGCCGACACATCGCCTTTTCCAAAAGCTCCTCATCTGAAACTAAATATCCCGTGCTTTCACATGCACCTCCTCATATCTGTTTGTGGCTGTTCTGTTAGAAACTGTAGGTGAACTGACAGCTAGTGAAAGATTCACGCCAAGGTCTGCTGGCAAGAGTGTAAACAGTCTGTGTGCAAATGAAGAGTCCTTTTTCAAAAAGAGTTGGCAGAAGTTCAGCGCTCGATATCTCTCTTTATACACACTGGGATCTGTAAATGTATTATTTGTATTATTAATTCGCCTGGATTTCCAACTCGGCTTGTAAACAGGTTATGGAAAGTTTTTAATAAGCTGTCACTGAACCTTAGAAAAGCGTGATGGATGGGTCCACACCTACGTGCTTCCTTTTTTTCCTGAGACCAGCTAAGATGAGGGGCAGATCTGTCCAAACTGCCCTGTTGAGACTTGTTTAGATTTCTTTATTCAGATTTCCATGAACTGAGGTTCTGTTGGCTTTTAGATGCCATCACTTGACTTTTCATAGAGTCACTTCCTGCGGTTTCCTTTGATTATCTACTGACAAAATGAGAGCTGTTGGAATTTGGCTGCCTTAAACAAACAAGGAAGCAAAGCTCCGCCTCCTACATACTCTAAAACCATTCACAACATGTTTGGACTTCAAGCACCACGTGTACATTGACCTCACTATAGTATTACTCTACAACTCGATTGCGGATGTTGATTTTAGCTGGAGAGAGGAGCTACAAGGACATTGTGCAAAGTCACATGGGATTAAAAAGTCATTAATATTTAGATGATCAGACAGGCTGTAAAAGCAAACACAGGTTTGTGGAGGTTGTCTAAACCAAACACCGGTGGGGCTGAGATGTTACTGCATGGGAGGAAACAGCAGCCGGTCAAAGGAGTCCTCTGACAAACTACACTGCTCACAAAAATAAAGGGAACACTTAGACAAAACAATGTAAGTCAAACTGTCCACTTAGGAAGCAACAATCAGTGTCACATGATGTTGTGCAAATGGAACAGACAACAGGTGGAAATCATAGGCAATTAGCAGGACATGCCTAATAAAGGAGTGGTTCTGCGGGTGGTGACCACAGACCGTTTCTCAGTATCTCAGCTTTCTGGCCGATGTTTGAATGCTGGCAGTGATTTCTCTCTAGCGGTAGCGTTAGACTGAATCTACAATGCACACAAGTGGCTCAGGTAGTGCAGCTCATCCAGGATGGCACATCAATGCGAGCTCTGGCAAGAAGGTTTGCTTTGTCTGTCAGTGTCCAGGGCATGAAGGCACTACCAGGAGACAGGCCAGTACATCAGAAGACGTGGAGGAGGCTGTTGGAGGGCAACAACCCAGCAGCAGGACCGCTACCTCCGCCTATGTGCAAGGAGGAACAGGAGGAGCCAGAGCTCTCCAAAATGACCTCCAGCAGGCCACAAATGTGCATGTGTCTGCTCAAACGGTCAAAACAGACTCCATGAGGGTGGCCTGAGGGCCCGACGACCACGGGTGGCGGTTGTGCTTACAGTCCAACACCATGCAGGATGTTTGCCAGAGAACACCAAGATGTTGGTGCATGACCGGTTTGGCAGCGGGTCAGTAATGGCGTGGTGTGGCATTTCAGAGAGCCTGACTTCCATTAGATACCATGATGAGGTCTGTGTGGAGTTTGCATGTTCTCCCCGTGTTTGCGTGGTTCTCCCCGGGTACTCCGGCTCACGTGTGGTGTCAGTTTGAGATTCCTACATCGCCTTGTTCTCGAGTTATCATATACACAAGAGTTTTAGAAAGCTTGATCTCAAACTCATCAGAGACTTTTGCTGATACAGCGATGTTATCAATTTCAAACTTTATCGCATTCAAAGCCTGCGTGTCCATGAGGCCCTCCCGCCTGCAGGGTGAGGACAACACTGATAAAACTAGAACTTCCCTTTAGCCAGCACACTCAGTAAACACATCCTGAGCTGTGTGCTGTCCCTGTGAAAGCACCAGTGTTACAGTGGTAGGAAAATGTGTTTGCCCCGTTCAGAGTTCCTGTTTCTTTGTATGTTTGTTGCACTTAAATGTTTCCAATCAACCAGTCGAAAAAAAGAAAAAGAAAAAATCAATCAAAAATCGGCCGATAGATTTGACTTAAATCACCAAATACTGGTATCAGTTTAAAACAGATCGCTTAAGCTCTGATTGAGAACTTGAAACCTCTTCACATGTTTCACTTCCGTCAAACGTCACCCTCCCAGTGACATGTATTCTGTTCTGACTGAACTATTTTGCAGTTTTAGACTCTTTCAGCTCATGAGTTGGGTTTTGGACCCATGCACTGGGTTTTCAGCTGCGCTTTCAGATGCACCACCACTTCCAGCAGCAAACGGCACACGAACAACGTCTGCAGTTTTGTTTGTGTGGTGGAACGTTCAGCAGCTAAAGACACAGAAATGTTTCTCAGAGACAGCAAACCACTCCCATGAGCAGCACTGCCAACTACGCCTGCATTTTAATAACTGTTGGACTCACATCAATAAGGACAGGATGTCGTTTATGTCAGAATCCATCATGTGAGAATCAGGCCAGAGCAAAGTTCTGTTCCAAAGGCCCGATCGTGAGGAGCGGGCAGCGTTCAGCACATATTCATTAATCGATAACAAACGGCTGCACAACACGCTGTGCTTCAAAGAATTTCAAATTGTATATAATATTTCGCAGTTACTATTCCTACATGATTAGGACTGAAACAGTGAACTGACAACTGTTCAGGCTACTGTAGGGGTTAAAAACAGACATACAGCTCAGTGATCACCAATAAGTGATCCATCAACTGTGGGCATGTAGAAACCCATTATTTAGTGCAAAACGCTGATGATGAGCGCATACACAGCCATGCGTATAAAAGATGTTTTAAGAACACAAGTGGTGCTGTGTGTGTGGATGTGAACAGACAATATGCATGACTGTGTTCACCATCTTCAGTGCTGAGTGCTCTTACTGTCAGGACTCTCAGATTTGACTTGGAAATGAAGCGTAATCAAGGCCCACTCAGAGTTTCACTTGAGAAGCTATTTTACATTCTGGTGCCTTTTCGATTAGTCTGGTGTGACCTGGACTGTACCGGCCAATGGGCAGTCACTATCATGGCAACACCTTTATTTGAACCTGACACAAAGAGTCCTGTGCAATTACAGGTAGCAGCCAAGGATATATGACAGTCCAGACTGTGGTGAACAAAGTGTGCGCTGGCAGCAGGTGGAATCGTAGCACCATGTCTCCATTACTCCGGTTGCTTCTTACAAATAATGCCCCCACAGCTCCATCACATTCAGATTCCCCCCACAGCAGGAAGCAGTGGTATGCTTTCCATTACCATTTACATTATCATGTCATTACGCATCATAGATGAAGCTAGTTAAGGGTCACCATAACTATCCAATGAAAAAACTGTTACTATTTAGTTACATCAAAGTCAGTGCAAACAACAAATCTAGGAAAACACTGTTTTAGTTTTTTCTATACTGATTGGTTCAATTGTGTTTTTTATGTTGTAGAAGATGTCAAAACCAGCTGTTAACATTTAAGTGTAGGCCTGAACAATGCTAAAGCACACCAATGAACATAATGCGTCCCTTTTTAACCGGCGTTTATGCAGTCAATGGTACATGTAGGCAAAAATTAAGCATTAGAAGTTGACACAGTGACTGCATTCTCATCTCCGTGTATGTGCCTGACTACTGAAGAGCCTGAATGTTTCTGAAGGCTTTTGGAAGGTCACAGTCCATGCACTTCACTTAGACAGCTCGCTGGCAAACACATGCAAACTCGTGTGAAATTATTCCTATAAATGGCTGAATAATACTGAAAGTGTGAAATTACTGGATGACTGACATGCTTAGCCCTAATAATGAAACTAGAACAAAGCACGGAGAAAGACACCAGGAGACAGAGTTATATTGAGAAATCTTTGTAGGCGTTCTGCCAGCAACAAACTGTACATCTGTCATGCTGACTCAGAAAAATTACACATGCATTAGGCTGTAGCTTCATTTCACTTTCTTGCAAAAGTGTATTTGAGGAAGCATCAGGCTGTGGCTAATTTAAGACACAAAGGGTGTGTGAATAAAAGAAGAAGGACTTGTGTTCTAGCAAAGAAGGAACCATGAGCCTGGAGCCTATCCCGGCTGTGTTAGGGTGAGAGGCAGGGTGGAAAGGTCGCCAGTCTGTCGCAGGGCTGACACAGACAACCATCCACACACCCCCGTGCTGCACTTCTAATTTATGTTAATAAAATATTAGTGTTGTGTTGGTGTGGCGTTTGTATGTTCTCCCTGTGTCTCTGTAGCGCTGCTGCTTTCTTCATTTTCTTTTTCCCTGTTTTTTTGTAAATATAGCACCAATGAGTCAGATCAAGGTGCTTCACTGTAACGTAAAAACAATAATACAAAGAAAAGCCCCAAATAATCAGACCACCTCCTAAGAGCAAGCATTTGGCGAGAGTGGGAAGGAAAAACTCCCTTTTAACAGGAAGAAACCTCCAGTAATACAAAGGCTGAGGACTGTGAGGGGAGGGGGAGTACACTGCTTGGTAAGAGACGCCTAAGAAAAGCCTAGCTAGAACTTTAAAGTGCAGCTGAAACTAATTTGATGACTCAAAGGTTTCTATGATTCTAAACACTTTGGCAAACAAGACTCACACTAAAGAGGAATATGGCTGCGATCAATAAATAAACAAAGAATATAAACGAGGACTAAGTAGAATCATTAACAGCACTGAAGTATTGTACGACAGCTCTGCTGTCTGAGACCAAGGACAGTTCGTGTACATCGTATTTATATATTTACTGTCAACCTGAGAGAGAGCGCAGCGTTATGCAACAAATATACAGTGTGCTGTATCAGAAACATTATATAACTTACTGAGTCCAATGCTGTAGTTACATCACAGCCTCTCTGCTCTGGTCTTCTTCAGCTTCTGCCAGGGTAGAAAAACAGAGTCAATACACCTGCCACAGAAAAGTGTCATTGCAGAGATGAAGAAGTAGGGCTGTGCGATATGACCAAAACCTCATCTCCCGATATAAAACATTTATCGTCCTGATAACGATATAAATCACAAAAATGTAACATTTTCTGTAAACTCTGTGAATCTCGGGCAGCTCGACTTGGTGAAGTGTTTCCAGCTGGGCGTTGTGTAGCTGAGTCGAGTGTTTTAACCGATGCATGAAACGATACATTTTTAGACATAAGTTGTAACGGCGCCGTTTTCTTTGTGAGTATTTATCACACGGCGTGCTGCGGGGAGAAGCCTGTTCTAACGTTTGAGTCTAAGGTTTATTTTTTAGCACCTGGCGTCTCTTTTTTACTTCTCATCTGTAAATAATCTGCATCTTTCACGTGATTCAGTTTATTTTGAAAAGTCTGAACAGGATCTTGAGCTTTATTGTGAAAAGTTTATGTGGAACATAAACAAGCGGACACGCCATGGTTTTACTGTCGTTGTTGCTAACGACAACACATAAAAACAGGCGCTTGTCCGTCCGTAGTGTGGTTATATTAAATATAAGAGAAAGAAGAAATGAATATAGCCACTACAGTGACATCAGAACCATGAACAAATATTACTGTAAACAGTTTATTTTGCGACACCACGAAACAAATGACAGCGTGAAATGAAACGATAGATGTTTTTGTATCGTCATCCGATATATATCGTTACATCGAGCAGCCCTATGAAGGAGAGTAAGAAACACTGCAGATCACAAGTTATTCATCTGCTTTTGACTGTGACACATACTCGCGTCTGATCTAAGGGACGGCCCGTGGCCATTAGTCAGGCTGCTTACAGGAATGGCCTGTGGACAAGCAAAACAGGACATGAGCAAGGAGCCGCACAAGAACCAGCGAAACGGTTCCATGTTCCTCATCAACCACTTGAAAAGCGCTTTGACCCAAAGCACCACCAGGACCACACGTGAGTACAGCAGGATGAGATCACAGCTACAGACTATCAGACGCTTGACCAGCACAGAGACACGCCCCTCTGTGACACAGCCTCTCAGCTGATACTTCCAAGTCAAACAAAGCGCTCGGTCGCTGCCGGTCCCCGCCCAGCAGGAAATGATGAAAGGCCGCCTCGTGTCACACCTCTGGCTCCTGTCTTAGGGCGCTCCTTTGAACCAAATGAATGGTCAGGTGTCAGATTTTGCTGTGGTTGGTGAAAACAAGCGGTGATTTCTCACTTTTATCAGGCTACGCAGGTAAAGTGAGAGGAGGCTGGGCAGATAAAACATCAGAGAGCTATGAGGTCACTCAGCTGACAAGTGGAAATCCCCTCATTAATTGAATAACATGGAAGGACAATAGCACTGCTTCCATCCAAGTTTCAGTCATTTGACACCCAAGAATTGAAGTTACTGCTCAGAAATGACACCTCAGTTGTTGTGTCTTTAGGGTTTGTACATAGGATTATATTACAAGAAAGTCAGAATTCAAGATTTATGGTTGTGATGTCACAGATTTAGAAGAAAAACGGTGAGATTCACGTACAACAAGATGTCAGTCTAACTCTCCAAAAGCATAGCAGCTCCGATGGACTCGTCCCAGGAGGAGGAAAAAGACACACCAGGACGCGTCTGACTCCCTACCTGCGTTTCTCATCAAGACTCCTGGACTTTCACTTCTCCGCTCTACCCGACACGCACGCTGACACGCACACTGACACGCACACTAACACAACCCTGCTCGACAGCCTCTCTCCCTGTGCTGCCTACCTGGCATTGACAGCAGAGCATTACAGAGACGTGGCGGGTTAATTGTTTATGGCTGGGCTGGGTCATAGCAGTGGATCCTGTTACTTTCCACTGACGTGAGTTCATGGAGGTAGGCACGCAGGCAGGTAAACAAACCCAGGCGAGGTGAGTGCATGGGGCAGTGCAGCGCGCTCACACACACACCCACCTCCACGGGCACTGTGAACAAGCCGAGCATTAATGACATCAAATCAGCATCAAGCCGCTGTAGTGCAGGTCACTCACCATCTCTTCTGCGTGTACAGCAGGTGACCCTTTAGTGTTTAGTTACAAGCCTCCTTTTTCTTCAGAACGCGGTAACCGCCTCCTTTAAATCCCCAAAACACCCACACTGTATGTGCTGGCCCCTTGTGACGCCATCCTCTAACTGAGCAGCTTTGAGTGTGATTCCTGGCTCTCGCTGTGTCCTGATAGTGACGGATTTACAGTTCCCGCTACTCTCTCCTTCTGTGTGTGTCTCTTGTCCTACAAAAATGGGTGTATCTCCCTGAAAAGAGTGAGACAAATGTGAGTAAGAAGCACACCCACATGAAAAGCTCACTTTCCCTCCCTCCCTCCCTTTCAGTCTGGCTGTCAGCATTTCCTCCAGGATGCACACTATGACTGTGATTTATAGTGTGTTATATACTTGTGTTCTCTATCCAAGCAGCTGGACAGAATCCCAGCAATGCTGGGGAATAACAGGAGAAATGGCTTCCCCCTCACATACTGTATGGGACTGCACGGGGAACTGAAGCCATGATCCCGGCAGCGTTGGCGGCGTGCTCAGCCTGTAGAGCTACACACAGCGGGACCACACACAAACCCCCTTTAGCTCTGTAGTAGTCAAATAACTCCCAGTTCCTCTTGTGCTCCGTTAGTCTCCAACATATGAACTGAATGGTAAACAGCAGGAGAATGAAAGCAGTCGAGGGACTCCATGAAAAGAGTCGCCGTCTCCATGGCAATGCCAGAGGCAAAGAGCGCCCCCCCCCCCAAATCGCCGCAATCCTTTCTGTACACATAAGGAATTGTGGGAAAGCGGATATGGGCCACATAACTTCTCTGTCGGGTACCAGGCACATCTCCACTCACATCACTACACTTTGACTACATGCAGGTCAGAGGTCATGGTCAGGACACCAGTTTGACTTGGTATGAACTGTTACAGACACAAATCCCACTTCTACAGCTGATTCTGACCCGACACCTTACCATTGTCACAGGGTTTCAGTGTTGCAGACAAATATCAATGAAACAGACACAAAATCCAATATATCACCTTAAGTGTTTTTTGTTTGTTTGTTTTTGCCTTTTCTCATGTAAATAGTGAAATTCAGCCAGAACTACATCCACAGCATTGCTCAAAAACACAACTGCAACCAACAGGTCCTTCTATCTCTCCAAAGTTGCTCTGCAAACAGCAACCTGGCAAGTTCCCCATCTTTGCTGAACAAATACTTGTCTTTTGATGTAGGAGAGTCTAATTCTACTGTAACGTAGTCACCAGGTTAGTGCCTAAAATGACCTTCTCTTTCTCTTATCACGTTCCTTTAACCTCGATGGAAAACGTCCCGAGGAAAGGCGCCAAGGAGAACTCACAAGACAACTGCAGCTCTTACAGGACACTGGGCTATTGGATGGTGTGATGGTGGTGACACGGGTCGCGCTCATGGTGAATGACAGCAACACGCAGCACAGACCATAACCATAGCTGCTGTGGCTCTGGTGGAGCAGAAGAGGATCAATCCCTGATACAAAGTCCGGCCTGGATGCCGAAATATCCTTGAGCCTGGACCCAGGCTGCATCCACTAAAGTGTGTGTGTGTGTGTGTGTGTGTGTGTGTGTGTGTGTGTGTGTGTGTGGGACTGGGTGAATGAGACTTGTAGTTGGAGGTTGTAGTGTAACTCCTGACTTTGTGAAGACTTTCTGTGACTGAAGTAAGTTACAGATCATCCTGAGAGCAGCCAACACATCAACACAGCAACTGATGGTGTGCTTATCCTGAACTCACTTTGATATACGCCGCTCCCTCGCTATAACGCGGTTCACCTTTGCGGCCTCGCTGTTTCGCTGATTTTTTTTGTGCAATTTTGCATGTTTTTATTCCCAGCACATTGTGTTCTGCGTCCTGATTGGCTGTAGACCACCGTCAGTCTTGTGCCGTGTCTGCTGTACAGCACAGAAGCGTTCAGCTTGTGTACTGTACATAAATCTTCGATCCTAGCAGTGTGACTCTGAAGTGCTGCACTGCATGTTTGTAAGTTTTTCCCCCAACAAACAACAGTGTTGATGAAACGTCGTCACCTGCGGGTTCCTTTGGTTTCTTTCTGTAATACTGGACTCATTTTCTACAAGGTTTGAACTTTGAGAGTTTAAACAAGACAGAAAAGTGTGAAAATGTTCATGCCTGTCTGACAAAAGTGTGTAAAGTGTGTCGTGAGGGGTTTTACAGCCTTAAAACATCTATAATAATTGTAAAAAATAAAGTTGGCTACTTTGCGGATTTCACTTATCGCGGGTTGTTTTTAGAACGTAACTCCTGCGATAAACGAGCGGCTGCTGTAACTCATAACAGCTTTTATGGATTTGTTTTTTGTCCCACACAGCAACCACTTCATACAGAGCACATGTTATTACAAAAGGGTAATGTTCACAGTTCACCTATAAAGTGACTTTAAGGTATGGGTCATGGCATGCAATGAAAAAACACTTCCATGAGCTGCATCCCTTGTTGGTCATGCTTATGTTTATGGAAACAGTCAAAGAGTGTGTTGCTGTGAATTGTGGTTCAGCATTATCCGTCCAACCTGCTAAAGAAGGTAAGAAGGAAATAATAATAATAATACATTTTATTGAAGAGTGTCTTTCTAAGGTCACCTTACAAAGAGGAAAAGAAACTGTAGATTACAATAGATTAAAACTGACAACAAGTAAAATCTGTATTAAAGTGAGTAAGCCAGTTTAAACAAGTAGGTTTGGAGCTGTGACTTATCTGGTCTCTAATGGGAGTCCGAGTTATGACCCGAGCTGCAGGATCCTGAAGAAGCTGAAGTTTATGGACGGACTTACTGGGGAGACCAAATAGGAGGGAGTTGCAATAATCAATCCGGGAAGTAATAAGACTGGACGAGGACGGCAGCAGCATGGGGAGTAAAGAAGGGACGAAGTCGGCTAATGTTA